ACAGTCGCAGTCGCAGTCAGGAGAGAAGTCGCAGTGACCACGCCACACTTCACGTGTGGCGCTGGTCGATGCATCTGTGACAGACCTCATCACTGAGTTGCAGACTCGTGCTTCGTCGGAAAGACCCACGAGTACTCGAACGACTACTCGAATGATGTCCCGATCGATTTTTATTAGGGTGATGACGCTGACCAAGATGAGTGTGACAGTGATTGTGGGTCCAGAGACGAGATCCAAGGTGAGGATACTTGTTCCGACCAAGACGAGAAACTAGTTGCAGCTGTTAACGACAACGAACGTCGAAATGCTGCTAACGGGACATTCGCGCGGAGTGACAAGCGTCCACAAAACAATGGATAAAAGTCAAGCGGATCTGGTCAAGGTGGATTTCGACCTACGACTCAATTTGGTTCGAGGTTCAATGATAACCGTGGTGGACGCAGTTTCCAGAGACCAAGTTATGGTGCATGCGCTGCAGGCATGTGGTGGACAGAATCATTCCACGCACTTTTTGTTTCCGACGATATCAGTTGTGCCAGCAAGTGCACGACTTCGGTAAGTGCGAGGCCTTCGACGAGCTGGTCAATCCTCCGGATTAATGTGGACAAGAAGAACATTAGTCCCGAGCTCCAGAAGCTTGTCTTCGGTGGGCATTTAAACTAGGCTGCCCGCCAACCGAGACTGGGTTGGTCCCTACCGGTCAGTCACAGTCAGCCGACCTGGTGATTGACGCGGAATATTTGTATGCGTTCACTGGGAAGTGTGAATGGTCTGAAGACAACAACAACAAAGATGAAAATGAGAAAAATGTGGAGTTCAATGGAGAATGTGGCGTATGTCCCGACGGAGGCAAATTGCATGGGATTAATGAAGATACTACTACAAAAAAGGCGGTGGACGGTGACTGGCTGGTGAGCATCTGTGAAGCGGGCGAAGCTGCACCGATGCACGCCAAGACGGTGAAGTCGCTCCCTGGGGAGCGTATGGGATGGTGGTTGTCACAGAGATTCGACCGACGAGTGAGAATGCGAGCTCTCGTGCGTGATGCAGTAAACGATGTGAGGACTTCGATCATCTTGGACACTGGCGCAAACGTGAGCATAATCACGACGAAGTTGGCGCGACGACTACGACAGGAACCTATCCTGGAACATGGACGACAACTCGAGGTACGTGGAATTCAAGAAGGAAAGATGTCAACGACAACTCGAGTGAAAGCCAAGGTTACGCTAGGTTGGAACACAGTCTATGAATTCGAGTTCTGGGTCATAGACCACAGTGCTGGATCAGAAGTAGTGCTTGGTACCGTCATTATGATACCAGCTGGAATACGCTTGGATCAGTTCTACGCGACAGCCAAGCTTTCAGGAGAAGAAATAGTGCCGCTGGTGAAATCGCTAAGTGCTGACGAAGATTCAGCTGAAGGGATGCATGTCACCGGCGGACCGACGAAGAGCCTGCAGATACCAGCAGGAGAGTGGATTGAGTTCCGGCTACAGAAACGAAAACAATCGTTAGGAACTCATGACGTTTGGGTGCGGCGCACTGCTGCGCTGATTCCGACGATCATAAGGTTCAGGAAAGGGTAGCCAACTTTGGTACGGTTGACGAACATCACTGACAGGGTGGTGTACTGTCCGGCACACCTTAATGTGATAGCCTGGGTACCCCGAGGCTTCATGCCGAAGCAAGATGGCTACGTGCCGATCGACTCTCGGAAATACGAGCAGTGGCAGGTGTTGGCTTATGCTGGATCACATGATGAAACTTTGTTCAAGTTGGTTCAAGTTGGTTCAAGTTGGTTTAAGTTGGTTCAAGTTTCGTCATGTGATCCAGCATAAACCAACACCTGCCACTACTCGTATTTCCGAGAGTCGATCGGCACGTAGCCAGCTTGGTTCGGCATGAAGCCTCGGGGTACCCAGGCTATCACATTAAGGTGTGCCGGACAGTACACCACAGCTGGAATGTGAGCTGTACGAACGGTGGTTGGTATCACAGCCGCTTGTGGTTGAGCAACAGCCCTACACATGGTCAACTAGCATATTGCAGAAACCCAACGAATACTCAAGCGATGGTGACGCTTCACTATCTCAGGACGCACAGGGGAGCATGGAGCATGTGGCTAGGAGCGTCGAAAGTGCGACCGATGGCTCGCCAGTGGGCGATGATCTGGTTAGCGCTGCAGTCGCATTAGGAGCTTCAACTCCTACTCCAACTGAGTGTTTGGATATTGACCGTGGTTGCAATAATCCATCGACTGAAACTCACAGCGACGAGAAATCGCCTGACGCGTCTGTCGCCGATTTGGAGCACACGTTCATGTGTGTTATGCATGTACTGTACACCGAGGGCAACGACGATCCAGCTGACGATGACTATGCCGTATATGAAGCGAACTACATCTCGCTGGAGGACTATGCCCAAGAATTGGCATTCTTGCCTGACTTGACAGAGCCATCTGTCACAGAGCTCGATTAAACCGCTCTGAATGTGAAGAACCCGAATTTCGTCGGCGATCAGCAACGACGACTCGACGATGTGCTTAAAAAGCACGAAGCGATCATGATTTCAAGCGGAAATGCATTGCCACCTCCTGCGTATGGGGTAGTATGTGACATTGACGTTCAAGGGCATGCTCCGATTATGCAACGTGCGAGGCGAATTCCGCTGAGGCACTTGCAGAAGCTCTATGAGCTACTCAAAGGACTGCTTAAGGCTAGCCTCATTGCGTTCTCTGACTGTCCATGGACATCGCCCATCGTGATCTTGTTGAAAAAGAACGGTCAAGATATTCGACTATGCATCGATTACACTATGGTCAATGCGGTCGCCGCAATCATGGAATACGCCATAAATCTGGTCGACGACCTGTTGACCGAGCTGGAGAATTACCTGTGGTTCTGTTCGTTGGGTGCCGCAAGTGGATTTTGAGCGATCATGATGACAATGCATGCGCGCAAGACTTCAGCGTTCGTTTGTGCTTTGGGCCACTTTGAGTGGCTCCGAATGCCATTCGGACTGAAGAATGCTTCCATGATCTACCAAAAGATGATCGATAATGCGCTATGGGGCTTTGTACAGCCTAAAGGTGGATGAGGGCGATATACTGAACGAATGAAACTCGCTGAAGAAGCAGCTACACGCCAGCGATTACTCGACGATGACTCAAATTTCACCTTGACGACGACTCGGACCAAGTTTGAGGCTAACCGACAGACGTCGTCGAAGCTGGATCCGGTGTTACGGATGGTAAACGATCCATACGCAGCCATGTTTGCGACTAATGAACCGGACGAATCGTTGCTAGTCCCGGTGTTCCAGCGTCGATCCTTGTAGTTGAAATTTGTTTCGGTGGCACTACTTTTGATGACTGCTTGGACACACTAGACAAGTTGCTGGCGCGGTTTGAAGAATGCAGGATCAGTGTCAGCTTTACTAAAAGCATATTTTGTCAGTCCAAGGTCGACTTCCAGTATCACGAGGTATCGCCAGACGGTATTCGGGCTGGCCCGAAGAAGATGACGGCCATTACAAAGTTGCCGTTCCCTAAGTCGAAGAAAGGGATGCAACAATTCCTCGGTTCACTCAACTACTACAGTCGTTTTATCCAAGACTTCGTAGTCTATGAAGCCGCGCTATATCAGTTGAAGGAAGACGATTTCTTCGAAGGGGGTGACCTGGCTGCAGCCAAAGAGAGTTTCACTGCGCTCCATCGGAAAATAGCTGAAGCTCCTATCCTACGACATTTTGATGCGAAGAGAGATGTGCACATCATGCTGTACGCCAATGAGTGGGCGTTAAGTGCAACCTTGATGCAGATGGACGACGACAAACTACATCCTGTTCGTTTTTGCGGACGAGTCCTCAAGGATTCCGAGATGAACTATCACTCGGCAGAGAAGGAAGTACTAGCTTTGTTGCTGCTGCTAAAGGTCTGTTACACCCAGCAGGCGGGAAGGACGCTGCATGTGTACACCTGATTCTCTACACTTGGATGGGTTCACAAATCTAAGTCGCTGTTCGGTCGAGCAGTGCAGATTGCGGTGTTGTTGTCACCATGGCAATTATAAGTGCAGCGAGTTTGGGAGAAGGATTATGTATTTAGCCAATTACTCCAGTCAACGATCACCAACTTCGTGGACTTGGACGACTCGCTAGCACTTGTTGCACCACCTACCAAAGGTTCACCGAGTACTCGGTTGGACTCAAGCCTGCTGTACGCTCAGCTACCACACGACTATGAAAGGGTTGGGGTCTCATTTGATGGTTCCGCTAAGACAGAGAAGAATGGTGGCTACGGTAGCTGCTCATGGATAGTGTGGAAGCTCCCAGAGTGGCAGATAGTGATCGCTGCGAGTGCCTACCTCGAGCAAACTACCGTGAATATGGCTGAGTACAGTGGCATGAACCATGGGGTGATCGCAGCCCTAGAACTTGGTGCTGAGGATTTAGTCATCGTTGGAGACTCGAGGTTGGCAATCCAGCAATCACTAGGGGTGATTGCATGCCGAAAAGATTCGCTGATAACACTCCGGACCCGCCACCGAGAACTCGTTGCGAAGCTCAAGTCAGTCCGATATCTGCATGTGATGCGTGAGTACAACGCAGCGGCTGACTCGCTCGCTGGTGAAGCATTGAAGTCGAAGGTGTCAAAGGTGGTGCTCAAGGACCACCGTTAGACTGAGCTCAAGGAGTTGAACAGAATCCAAGAAATGATCTATGAGCCGTCTTCAGACGACATCAAGGTCGAAAACACGAGTTCCGGGACTTGTGTTCAAATTCTAGACGGAAAGACACGTCATATTCATGCTATGGACAGCGATATCTTGCTATAACACAAGACCTTTGCCAATTTCGCGCACCAAGAAAGCGCCGAAGTCTCAGGTACAACTCGAAGTCAGACCAAGACCAAGAAGAAACGAGTGCACTTTGAGGACGAAGCTCCTTAAGGGACTACTACTGATGAGGTAACTGAGGCAGCCACCGAGGACTCAGCAATGCAGGCGCAACGACCAAGTGCTGAGGTCCGATACGAACCAACAGCCGATGATATTGACCCAGTTGCAGTCCAAAAAGAGCGAAGGAGTCGCATCGTCCAGGCCCAGGATGAGGAGTTGAGGTGGTCGAACCTGAAAGCTATCCTGAGAGGCGAAACCACAGCGATGATTTACAAAGAGGCTCGAGAAACCTGGAAGTGGACGGACAACTTTGTGCTATCAAGTGACAATGTCCTGTATTACACGGGTGCGAGCAGAAGAAAGGTCGAAGAAAACCTGACCGTGATGTCGTTGAGACTTGTGGTGCCAACCACAATGATCCAAGAAGTGCTACACAACTGTCATGACTCCATCGAAGGAGGGCACTAAGGTGCCGTCCGCTCTTATCAGAGAGTAAAACACGACTACTACTGGATCGGTCTCTACGCAGATGTAGAGAAACATGTGAAATCATGCCTCAACTGCAGCTCGAGTAAGAGCTTGCCGCAGCTCAAAGACTACTCACCTGGTAATGTGCTTACAGAACGACCATTCCAGGTGGTGTCAATGGACTTTGTAATCCCTCTACCGAGATCCCGCGGGGGGAACACTGCCTGTTGTTATGGAAGTGCTCGTTTACAGGTTTGTGATCGCTAAAGCGATGTCTGAAACCGACGCCCTGACTGTGGCCAAGGTGTTCGAGGAATGCATCTATAGACGATTTGGTGCTCCGTGTCTTATTCGTCACGAACGAGACCCACGCTTCATGAGCGAGGTCTTCCAGGCCTTCGCTGAATTAATACAAGCGCGGTCAAGGCCGACACTGAGCTATCGCCCACAAGGGAATGGACAGCAAGAGCGGTCGGCCAAGACCGTGATGCAGCCTGTCAAGGTCTATATGGAAGACCCGTTGCAGCAAGACTGGGATGAGATCGCCGAGCGACTAGTCTTTGCGATCAACAACTCTCATGATATGACCAGGAAAGAGATGCCATTTTATTTGGTGCATGGATGGGATGCCGATACGACGCTACGAGCAATGACGACCACTCTGAAGCGAGATGTTGGTAAGCAGACTGAGGCACTAGCCTGGTGGCGAGAGATTAACCGCTCGCAGCAGATTGCTCTCGAGATGCTGCAGAGAAGGTCCGACGCGCTAGAATCCATAACGAGAAGCTCAGCTGTAAATAACAAGTCGCGATACCAAAAGGTGTAAACGATGACTCGTCCGATGATGACTCGTTCGATGATGACTCGGAACCGAAGTCTCTATTTCGACCTGGAAGCCAAGTTTGGCTGTATATGGAGCGAGTGAAGCCAGGATTAGTTAAGAAGCTGGTCCACATATGGCATAGTCCCTTCAGGGTAGAGCGGAAGGTCGAAGAGTTCGCGTACGAGCTAGAGTTACCGGATAAAAGCGGGTATCGGTTCTACCCGGTAGTGCACGTCTCTCGACTGAAGGCTGTGAATGAGGTTTGCGATCGGCCAAAGGTGCGACTAGCTCGAGATGTTGCTGAGGAAGCGAGATTTGACTTCGACGAAGAGCTGTTGTCTGAAGACAGCTGGAAGCCAGACGAAGTAGCTAGCGAATTCTTTGCGGAGATGACTCCGCAAAGAGCAGGATCAAAGCAGCTTCAGCCGCTTCATCTTGAGGATCGGCCGAGGTGTCGTCAGCCGAATCTTGATCCAAGTTCATAGTGGCGACGGAGTCAGTGTCGGCTTCTCCAACTTCGCCGTCCTCCATCTCCTCATCGTTGTCGGCTCCACGATAGGCGCGATCCCACGAGAAGTCAATGTCCTCCGGCTCCAGAGACAAGTCAGGAACGATGTGTGGACGACTTTGACAGTCGCGCCGGAAGTGAGGAAGAACCGCACGTGAGCGTTGCACGGAACATACACCGTGTTGTAAGGGTGCTGCTCCGGACTAGTCAACCAGTCCACACGACATGGCTCCGACTCGTTCACTAGAACAGCCTCTGCACACCAATCTGCCGACCCATGAACCCACATGAAATTTTCCATTGTGTAGAACAGGAGAGTCGGGTCCAGTAGGGTCTCAATTGGGAGCGAGGCGTCCGGACCGACACACCAAGGCCACATGCGGCCAGGAAGAAATGTCCGCAAGTTGTCGGCTCGGTCCACGCGTTCCTTGTTGTACTTGAGCCACGCCTTCCTCAAATGCTCGAGAACCAACTTGAACTTACGACGCTGCTTAGGATCCTTGATAGTCCCGAGCCGAGCAGTCATCCGAGAGAAGAAGCGCTTTACAGCCTCACGAGAGACCCAGTGCTTACGTTGATAAATGGCAAAGCTCATCACGGCCGACTTCTCGTCGCCATAGCCGCGAAGCCGGCGCCAAACTCCACAAAGCCTCTCCGGGTAGTCAGCTCGCTGAGAAATGTGAGAGTCCAGCTGGAAGTCGGTAGCGTCGAAGAGACAAGCGGGCTCAGGCCACTTGGACATCGCCTTCGGCCAGGGGTGATCGGCGGCCATAAACTTACAAAACTTATCGGTGCCAACCGTCGTGCACTTAACCTCCGCGTCGGAAGGCACAGGAGTAGGCAGAAACGACTGCTCGAGCTTGACCCAGTACTTCGGCGCACTGACGGTGGTAAACTCAGGAGCCACATATGGAGTCAGCAAGTCGGAAACGCGTTGAGCAAGCTTAACCAACTCTGGATACTTAGAGATCCAGTCAGGTAAATTAGAATCCAAGGAAGACTCGTCGGCACATCTCGCGACTTCACCTTCTTGGGGGGTCGAGAGGTCTTCGGAGACGACTTGGATTTCTTCTTGAGAGCTGTCACTTTCTTGACCTTAGCCGACGACTTCTTCTTTCCAGCCAACTTGGGCAAAGCCTTCTTTTTACCCTTAAGCGACGATTTGGAGTCAGCCTTGGTAGCCGCAAGAGACTTGGGCTTAGGCTTAGGAGAAGTCTCCACTGCACGAGAACTCTTGGCAGATGGATTTGTAGGAGCTGGAGCATCGAGAACATCGTCGAAAGAATCCTCCAGACACTGGCTCTCCGGACGGAGCTTGGGTAGCTCGCTGTCTTCATGTTTGTGAGCCTCAGAGCCCTCTGACACGAAAATTCGAGGTCCAAGCTCCACTCAGACTCGGATTCAGATGAAACTAAAATGACATATTCATCCGACGATGAGCAGCCAGGTTAGCCTTGGTGCCAGTCTTGTTTGAACGAGATTTCATGGACTTGGAAGGAAGAGACTTGGCCGACTCGCCAGTCGAAGACTCAGAAGGCAGAGACTTGATGTCTGAACGCGAACCTCAAGCCAAGCGAAATGAGGACCAGAACTCGGAACTCATAGCTGCCTTGCGCTTTGGGGTGAGGCGAGGACTCGACATCGACTCTGCATCAGACACCGCCACGTCTATCTTCTTTTGGGTCAAGCCAGTCTTGCCATGAGCCGGTGCAGGAGCACTTGGTTTGTTCGACGATGACTTGGGCGACGGATGGGTCTTCTTCGCCGGAGCCGGAGGAGCGGTAGGAGGAGAAGTCATCTGCTCCTTCGGTAGTGGTTATGAGGTCGTCGCTGAAAAGGAAGTTGCCGAACACTCACGTCCCTCTTCAGGAGCGTCCTCACCAGAGTCACCACCACCGAAATTCACATCCTCGACATCGTTGCCGGTGCGCTGTCGCTTGACCTTGCACTTGCCCTTCCTCCCGCCGGAAACCGGTGGAGCGGGAGGTGTCAAGGCAGGTGGCGAGTGGGCTGGAGAGGTAGTCAATGACTGAGACTGTTCGGCAGGTGTAGCCGAAGACGGCGCAGAACTCGAAGTGGGTCCAGCGCCAGTGACGACGACTGGAGGCCCAGTCCGCGTAATAGAGAGCGACCGTGAGGAAGACGGCGACGGCGCAGACGCTGCCATCGAAGATTGCGGTAAGCTCGGAGTTGGACTTGAAGTCACAGTAGTGCTGGAATCTTGAACAGCAGGAGCAGACGGCCGGCGCACAGAGACCGTGAGCGGGGGCAGGCAAATCCGCCGCAGCAGTTGCTTCCTCAGCTTTGAGCTGCGTTTCAGTGCGAAGATCCGCGAACCGAACCTTCGCTCGAGCGATGTCGTCGGCGAGCGAGTCCCGGTCTCGACCATCCGACAACCCAAGTTTGTAGACTGCCTGCAGAGCATGGCGAGTCTGAGGGTCGGGGGCCATAGTCTCCCAGTCGATCTTGTCAAACTCAAGACCTGCATTCAAAGGAAACAACCAACGATCAGTCAGCAACGAGACAGATGAACACCTGGGAAACTGGAACTCACCTTCAACCATGAAGACCAAAGCTTCAGGGTCCATATCTTCAAGCCGAATGCGCGAACCGAGAGCCGAGTTGGCTTTCTTGAGACGCTTGACCCGACGAACCAGATCCCGGTTGCGCTCACGGAGATTGAGTGTCAGGGTAGTCTCAGTCGGATCGGTGAGAGATAGCAACTTGTGAAGGTTTTCGTGAGACTTCTTGAACGCTTGGATCCCAACCAGATACTCGGAGCGAGCATGGTTTACTTCCTTGGTCAAAATCTCGTTACTGCGATGCGCTAACTGCATTCGGTTATCGAGGCGGTCGTACATATCTTGGTAGATCTTGATAACAGCATTCATCTCGCTGATCTGGGCGTTCAAGGAGGCCTCGCGCGACCTGACGAACTTGATCTCCTTGTGCGCAGCGTCACGGTCGACCGAGAACTGCTGAGCCCAGGTTTCTGCATTAGCCGAGCACACTGCTCCGAGAAGAGCTTGTTCTCCATAGCAGCACGAGAAGCTTCCGCCGACTTGGGGGACGCTTGAGCTGCAGCTAGCTCTCGTCCAACCTTAGTCAAAGCGTCGGCAGGAATGGGTTCGCTGCACATCAAAATGTCCTCGAACGAACCGCGCAGCATCCAATCGACGCTTGAAGGTCGTACGACCACGGACGTCCGGTCCCCAGTGGAGCGTGGCGTAAACCGCAGCATCTCAGTGATCCGGCCATCCATCGCCTGGCAGACGCTTTCCAGCGTGTGCTGCGAAGACGTGTTCAGCAGTTCGCAAATTCGCTCCTCGCTTAAACGGGGCGAAACGAGAGGACTGGCCGCAGAAGGATCTGTAGCACGGAGAGTGGTCGCCTGAAAGGTTGGGAGTCAGCCAGGTGGAAGTGAAACGATCTTGCGTAAAACGTACAGTGGAGCTGGGTCGAGTCTCAGTCGCCGGCGAAGGAACTGACGGTGAATCCGAGTCGGAGTTCGAGTCACCAGAGGGGTTTGGATCTTCGGCAGTCATGGCAATGACCGGAGGTGTTGTGGACTGCGAGTGATGAGTGTTAGTGGAATGATGATGACAAGAATAAGATGCTGCAGCTTACCGATGAGACGGGTGGAGTCGTTGTCTGCGACGACGACTCAGCGGGTTCTTCAGCAGGAGCTCCCTTGATCGGTGCAGATGTGATAGGAACTTGAGCAACAACAGGAAACGACTGCAGCAAGTGAATAGGTTGCAATGATGAGCACAAGATCCAACGGCAAGATGCGGTAAAGGTGGATACGTTCCGGAGTTGCAGCTGGAACTGGTGATGCCGCTGTCGATGGAGACGCGGTCTTGGAGTTGGAAGACGACATGAGCGCAATGACACTTACCAAAGTGGTGACTCGTATCGCTGCGGAGGCAGTTGTGGTGTCGGGTTTCTTGCAAAAG